GAAGCAGTTCTGCTCTGCACACACAGGGCCAGAATTCACTTGATGACAACTAACAACATGAACAAACTGGTGCTAAACAGAAGGAGACATAAGGAAATATCCCCTGGTCTCCATGTCTGTGTTCATGAAACTATCTTGGTAATAGCAATACAGCTTTTATTTTTTTCTATATTTAATTTTTCTCACAGTGATACTACCAAATAGCTTTGTCTGTGTACACTTATACATACACATTTACTTAATCAGTAGTAACCAGTTGCTGTCAAGTTGATTCTGACTCATGGAGACTCCATGTGTGTCATTGTAAAACTGTGCTTCATAGGGTTTCCAATGGCTGATTTCCCTGAAGTAGATCACCAGGCTGTTCTTCCAAGGTGCCACTGGGTGGACTCAATCTTCCAACCTTTTGATTAGCAGCCAAACATGTTTCATATGGACCACCCAGTACATACACTCAGCTTCCCATCATCTAAAATGGGAATAATAATAAAAACCCATCTGTTTGTGTTACTGTGAAGATTAAATATAATTATACAACATGTGTGGCACCAAGCCTGGCAGAGTAAGGACCCAATAGTAGCTAGTGTTTGTTATTTTAGAAGGGTGGTGGCTGATATGAGGTGTATTGGCCAGGCCTCCCGTGTGGAAGGGAGAATTCTACCACCGAACAACTACTGCTCTCTATGCAATATGTTGTTGTTATTAGATGCCATCAATGTGGCTCCAGCTCACGCGATCTTATGTATAACAGAATGACATATTGCCCAATCCTGTGTCTTCTTCATGATCATTGGTGTGCTTGAATCCATTGTTCAGGCTGTTGTGTCAACCCATTCATTGAGGGCTTCTCTCATTTCCATTGGCCCTCCAGTTTACCAAACGTGTTCTTTCCTAGTAAGTGATGGTATGTCCAAAGTAAGTGTATTAAGTCTTATCATTCTTGCTTCTAAGGAACATTCTGGTTGTATTTCTTCTAAGACTGATTTGTTCATTCTTTTGGCAGTCCCTGGTATATTCATTATTCATTGTCAATACCACAGTTTGAATGCAACAATTCTTCTTCTGTCTTCCTTTTTCACTATCCTACTTTGGTATGCATATTAGGTGATTGAAAAGACCATAGTGTCGGTCAGAAACACCTTAGTAAGGCAATGACTTTTGACTCCTTCTTCAGGGATTGCACCCCACTTGTTCCTATCAAGTCTTATCTTTAAGACATATCTCCAGATTGGCATGAAATCAGACTTTAGAAGTAGCAAGTGTTTAAGAAATTTGATGTAATTAATAGTAAGTAAAACCAAGAGATTTGGTTCAAACTCACTTGTGCAAGACCAAATATTCCACTTCGATTCCAACCCCCTGGGCAGGAAGCACTGAATCCTGCTGACACAGATCTAAGGTACACAAGTTCCAGGTCTTGTCAGATGGTTCTAATCAAAACCGAACACTGTTTTTCTTACTTGTTTTATTTCCTTCTCCAGTTATACATAACACGTTTATTAGCCCAGGCATACCCGTACTTGATAATGAGTGAATGGAATTTAAGGAAAAGTACAAACTATTTATTGAGGTAACCTCAATGCTGACTTTAAAATAATAAAACATGAAAAACAGTTTCACAATGCACCAAACTTGGAAGCAAATGAAGGAAAAAAAAAGCCTGTGGATTAAAATGGTTGAGGGCAAAACTCAATAATTTAGAGTTAATTACCTAAAGCGTGAAAACTGCTGGAGATCTTTCACTGAGACAGAACTGGGCTTTTCCCCTTGAGTAAAATAGGGAAAGAAAAAAAAAAGGAAAGTGAAATAGAAATTAAATTACTTACATGCATGGCTAGAATGCTTCTTGGGACTAACTCTCTGTATTGTCTAATGGTAAAGTGCCATGTTTTTATTCTCATGAGATCATCAAAGGTGAACTCCAAGATCAATCTGCCTTCTGTACATACCTGGAAGTGATAAACAACACACTCATTGGTGATCCACATTGTGAATGCCATGTTTTATAACTCACCCATCAGCTGCTCAGTGTAGTCTCCCTTACTGTCCTTGGCCATTTCTGCTTTTTTGGCAAAGCTGTGACACAAAGGCTTATCCCGGGCATACTGGAACAAGCATAAGCTCTGGAATCAGTGTCTCCATATCCTTGGGTTCAAAAACAAACCTTACTGATGATCACGTGACCTACTGAAACTCTATGAACTTGTTTCTTCTTCTGTCAATATGAGGATCAAACCTATCTTCTAGAGATATTATATCAAAAACTCTTGCCACATAGTACCCCCAAAAAATAGTACTCTCTTACTTTTTCCTATTGTTTCTTCTACTTTTTTCACCCTCCTAACGTAAAAGCTTGAACTCTCATTCAACTCTTCGTTATCTTGCTCCTGAGACAATGTATCTAATAGAAGTATTCATACTTAATTGTTACTAAAAGTTTACCCATGAGAAATTCCAGAGGGTAATGCTTAACTCAAGCTGGTGGGGATTGATTACTCCCTGTGGAGAAGAGGTGTGTTTAGAGTATATCCTTAAATCAGATTAAATCAGTAATGGTAAATTCTGCTTCCACAATGAGTCAGCCTTTGGGGGGCATTATGATCATTTGACAGCTCTGGTAGCATAATGCCTAAGGCACTTGACTGCTAACCAGAAGGCTGGCAGTTCAAACCCACCAGCCACTCCTCGGAAGGAAGGTTGGGCAATCTACTTTTGTAGTGATACCATCTCGGAAACCCAAAGAAGGGTCGCTATGAGTCGGGTCTGACTTGATGGCACATAACAACAACAACAACAACAACATGATCATTTGAAGAAAGAAAGAATTGTTAATGAAGCATCATGAAATTTCTAAGACTCTCTTCCTTGACAGAGTCATCAGTGATAGGATAGCTTTTGCTTATTTTTTTGAGATTCAAATCATTTTTAGGATGTCATTTTTGCTTGCTCTTTTCCACAGTTAATGACGTTGAAATGGAAGAAGATGGTAGCCATCCAAACACTACTGGGTCCATTTCTACTATAAGAGGGGAACGGTGGTAGCATATTGATCCAGTTTACATGATTACAGCTCATTGATCAGTCCAAATTTCCCTTAAGAAAGCAGTGCCAAGCAGTGGATGGAGCCATTGGCATCAGATAGTGTTGGATCCAAATTCTGGTTCAATTTTTTGCTCATTCTGGAATTGGGGAAAAAATCAAATAAATTCTCCAAATTCTAGCCTTCTTGTCTGTAAAATGGGGACAATAACACCCTTAGGTAGTGTAGTTGGGAGAGTGCATGGAATGAAGCTGTGTATGTAGATCACCTGTCGTCATACTTGGCACATCATAAGATGACAGTAAATGAGAGCTTTAAAGGTAAAAGAAGCACAGCCAAAAAGAAAACACATCCTTAGACCAGTGTTGTCATTATGAGCCATCAGAGATTAAGGGGTTCATGAAGTGCCACTTAAGGGCCCTGCTGGAAGGCAGAGGGCCTCCATTTGGAATCTGCATCCAACCTTCAATTTTAAGGAGGTGTGCTGGTGCACTGGTTAAGCTCTTGGCTGTGAAATGAAAGGTCAGTGGTTTGAACTCACTAGCCACTCCTCAAGAGGAAGATGTGGCAGTCTGCTTCTGTAAAAACGGTAGCCTTGGAAACCCTATGGAGCAGTTAGCTCTACTGTGTCCTATAGAATCTCTTTGAGTCAGAATTGACTCAATGACAACAGGTGTAGTTGGTTTTTTGGATCTTCAGTGCTATCTATTTTAACAGATTGGCATTCTGGTTTGGCTTTTTTATAGGAAGATTGCCTAGTCCAAAGTGAAGCACACAAAATTCTGAGAATCACTGTACTGCAAATTTAAAAAATAAAATACATAACTGACAATAAACTAAATAGGGGAGATGCTTATTTATAAACCTCCCATCCATTGAGATGATTAACAATTTATATACAACTTTAAATGAATCTTCACAATACTTCTGTTTCATGAATTTAATACAAATCCCCCTATTTATTGAGCACCAGTTGTTTCTAGACACTGGTTAGGGGCTTTATATGCACTCTAATTTAAGATAATGTTTCCTTTCAATAAGCCAAACCAGGAGAGGAGCTTTACCAATAAGTGTGATAGGGCACGTCTCAGGAGAGATGCTGTTACCATTGGCCATCTTTGTTTTATCAAGTCTCAGAAGCTTGGTGAGGTAATTATTGGTAATCTGGGTGAAGACCTCTGCCTCTGGTCCAATGAGCAGAAGGTGTGAGTAATTTCAGGCATTTGGGTATCTTGCCCCAATACTTCTAGTTGAGTGGTCTTCAAAATCTTGTTTTTGGTATCTCAGCCATGAGAGTTGGGCACATCGAATGGGGGAAGGCTTCAGTGTCATGAAACCACTCCCTCCAGCACATCCTCAACATTGGAATTAATTTCCTAAGATTTTCAAAAGGGATACTTAGAGATTAAGCCACACATTTTCCCCCTGGGGTGTTTGTGTGACAGAAGCCACCTGTGGTGAAGGTCTCACAAAAGGGAGGTAACCATAGCCAGCCACTAACAGTGAAATGTCCTGACAATATAGGACAGGCATATTTGGATGTTATAATCCTCTTTTTAAAGAGAAGAGATTATTGGATATTTAAACAAATATTAGCCCAGTTAAATGTCATGCTTCTTTATTATCTAATCTATTTGTTTTAAGTTTATGAACCACAAACCCAGGGCAGGCAGAAGCTGTGGTCTGTTTCTGAAACTGGAGTAAAATTTCAGAATGGAAAGGCATGTTGTCAGGAGGGACCATTCCTTGGAAAAGCACATCATGCTTGGTAAAGTGGAAGGTCAGCAAAAAAGGCAAAGACCCTTAGCAGATGGACTGACATGGTGGCTGTGGTGATGGGCTCAAACGTAATAACAACTATGCGGATGGGGCAGCACCATGCAGTATTTTGTTCTGTTGTATGCTATCAGTTGTTGCTATCAGTTGGAACTGACTCAATGACACCTAACATCAACAACAAAAAAACATGTATGTAGTGGTTCTGATGAATCACTCCACTGGAGCTACTATAAGGTCAAGCTTAATTGTATTCTTTGTTCACTGTGACACTGCAAACCAGTTGGTGACCCTTCTTGTAGTTAAACTGTCACAGGCCTACAAAACAGAAAGTTGCAACAAATATTGCAACCAAGGACTGTCCTAACCAAGGACTCAGTTTTATCCAGCACATATCATGTACAAGATAACATTTCTTAGAATTGAATCTGGGGTGACTGTGTTGGGTATTTTATTTAAGGAAAATAGGATGACTTCCTTGAATGAATGAAATGAGGAGAATTCTGGTCATGGATAGTCTTGTCCAAGTAATAATTCCACAGCTTTCTCCCAAGCCCTACACAGCCTCTCTGCTCCTTCTACCCCTACTATGGAAGTTAAAGGAAACAGAAGGTTTTGTGATTTATTTTATAAGCAATAATCAGCAAATGGAATAGAGGTGCATGAGAAAAAAAACAAAAAAGCAAAACATATATTCCTACTTCTGAAATGGGCAGAAATGAGCATAGCTAAAAAGAGAAATTAATGTTTTCTCTTTTCAGAAAAATTCTGTGCATTCCTCTTAATCAATACAATTAATGCAGCTTTTATCTAAAGTTGGTCTTTTTTTTTTCCCCTCCCAAAGCCACCTTTCACTTGGAATCCAAAATCAAAAGGGTCCCCAATTAAGAAAACATTTTCTGTTGTACTGAATTCATGTTACTGTGCTGTGAGCTCTGACATTTTGTTTCTGTGGTAACAAAAATCAGCTGATTAGTTGGCATGGCAACAGAAAAGATGTAATCCCAGCAGACACACTCTAATCAATGCCCCCAGCACAGATGGTCTCCAGAGGATCAACAAGAAAGAGGTTGGCAGGCATTCAGCAGATCACGTGCCAGCTTGAGACTAGGCCAGGAACAAGGGAACTAAAAAAGGACATTTCTCAAACTAACCGGTTGCTTTTTAACCCTTTGCTTTCTTTGACTCATTGTAAAGCCATATTGACCGTGTAGTTGTATCATATCCTACCTCTCATGTGGCCTTTATGAAATAAAATGTGCTTCTTAAATGGAAGTATTTCTTTAATTTCCTTGGTCTTTATGTTTGGAACAGCATGGATGGGAAAGTACTATTAGGTGAACAGTTGTGTAAAGCTCACTGCATTTTATTTAGAGATATTGTTGTTGTTATGTGCCGTTGAGTTGGACCCGACTCATAGCGACCCCTCTTGGGTTTCTGAGGTGGTAAATATGTGTGTGGGTAGAGTTGGATGTATTTATACGTACATATAAATCTAAGAGAAAGGCAATCATTAATATTTTAATTTGGCTAGAGCTGGGACAAGAGTACAAATTCTGTGCATGTAATGTGGTATAACTACTAAGGTAAGAATGATGAAATGAATGTCAAAAAGAGAAGTGAGTATTCATATAGGAAAACTGGATGGTGCACTTCCATGGTATTTTGCTACAGTAATAAATGATTTCATAATAAATAATTGAGCACAGAAAAAAACGTAAACCTATGTTTACAGAAGTGATAAGTGTGTCAAGTAATCTCTATAACTATTTTCCCAGTGTGTAAAACCGAAAAGTAACTGCTATAATGTACCCTAGAGAGTGCTTCTCTTAGCATCTGCCAGTGCTTACACCCTCAAATAAAACTCAGGGGTCTTTGATTCTGAAAAGCTTGACACATGCTTTTCTGATTTTTAGGCCTTGTTTTCTATTTGACTCAAAATTGAAAACATAAAAGAGAGGCTTTCTAATGTGTGTTTTAAAACTCTAATTACATATTTATCCATAATCCATTATGTTCCTGGGATCAGGAAATTGCAAAGTGTATATTACACTCCTGAGGAATATTAAATATTACTGTTGATTAGGACTACGACTAGTTTTTGATTCACCAATTGGCCAAATTTTCATAAAAGCAACTCAGAACTGCTGGGTCAAATGTTATTTGTGGAATTAGAACTTATTAACAGTCTAAATGAGAACAATGGGATGCTGCCTACACATAATGTGGTAAGTAATGCCATGTGCTAGTAGCAGGTCCCCGTTTAAAAATTAAACATCTGCTTCCGAGTTGTTTTTCCTTGTGATACCGATAGGTCATGAGTCCACTGCTTTATAATAGATAGTCAGAGTAGTTTATTATATAAAAATGAGTTATTTTTAATTAACATAAGAACAAAAGAAAAAGAATGGAGAGATTCTGTGGGCAGTATAATGACTACCAAGGAGCAAAAAAAGGGAAAAAAATAATAATAAAAAATAATTCTCTAAAAGAAATGTGGACAATTAGCTTCTGGAGTAAGTCCATATAACTGAGCTGCATTTCCCAGAAAGTGGTATTTTTCATCACAGTATTGAAACAGTTGTTAAAGGAGTCAGCAGAAACATTGCCATAGAGAAGAGTAAAATGGGTGGTCCGAGTAATTGATACTTGTGGCAAAGGGTATTGTGTTCACCATGGCACTCAAGGCTTCCTGGGGACTGCCCTTTATGCCTGAAGAAAACACTCACCCATCTCAGAGAGGTGAGCTTCTGGGATAAGAGAGAATGCAGAAACCCTAACCCGTTGCTGTCAAGTCAGTTCTGACTCGTGGCAACCCCCTGTGTCACAGAGCAGAACTGTGTTCCCTAGGGTTGTCTGGGCTGTGATCTTTATGGAAGGAGATCTGCAGGCTTTTCTTCTGAGGTGCAGCTGGGTGGTTCTGAACAGCCAATCATTCAGTTAGTACTTGAGCACAAACCATTTGTGCCACCCAGGGAAGCCATAAGAAACAATATAGCAGAAGAAAATCTTAGATTCTTGATTTGGCTAAAGAAGTATTTTCTCCATTCACGAGAAGCATGGGATTATTGTTGATGTAAAACCGGTCCCAGACGGGCAATGCTGTCTTTTCAGAGTTACCCTGAATTATGAAAGAGGAAAGAGAAAGTAGAAAGAAGAAACAGTAGATATGTAAAAAGACTACTGCAGAAGAATGTTTATTTTGAAATAGTTCCTTAATTATGACAAAGCTTTATTGAATTATCATAAATATTTTTCCTATAAAACATAAATAACTTGTAAGTTTTCCTTGGATTACCTAAAATTAACATAAGCTCAGAGAAAAATAATAGCAATCCATAGAGAAAGGTAATATCTGCAACACTCTGGGTTAGTGACCTAGGCATGGTTGTGTGTCCATCTGATCTACCAGTTTCTGTAAAGGTTCTGTGTCTCCAAAATGAAGTGAGGGAAATTAAAGCCATCAGGTGATGGTTCCTTTCCATATGGCAAAACTCCCTTCCTTCCATGACAATCTGCACTCAACAGGAAGTTCCTTTGTCTTCTACTGACAAACAAACAATAATAGTTCTAACAGGCCAACTGTTAAAATGGGGAAAGAGAAAAATGTAACACCTGCCTCTGATTTAAAATGTCTATTGATAAAATTGTGAGCTCTGGTGGCGTAGTGCCGAGGGCATTTGACTGCTAACCAGAAGTCTGGCAGTTCAAACCTATCAGCCACTCCTTGGAAGGAAGGTTGGGCAATCTACTTCCATAGGGACACTGCCTGGAAATCCAAGGAGGGATGGCTATTGAGTTGGATCTGACTTGACAGCAGTGAGTTTGGTTTTGGTTTTTATTGATAAAATTAAAGGGGCTCTGGTGATGTAGTTGTTAAGGCATTTGTCTGCTAAACAAAAGATCAGGTTCAAACCCATAAGCTGCTTCAAAGAAGAAAGAGGAAACAATCTGCTTGCATAAAGATTTGCAGCCTTGGAAACCCAACGGGGTTTGCTATGAGTCTGAACTGACTTGATGGCAGTGAGTTTGGTTTCTTATTCTTGGTATTGATAAAATTAAAGGTGTTCTGGTGGTGTAGTTGTTAAGGCATTTGGCTGCTATACAAAAGGTTGGTGGTTCAAACCCACCAGCTGCTCCATGGAAGAAAGATGAGGTAATTGGCTTCCATAAAGATTTACAGCCTTGGAAACCCAATGGGGGTTGGTCACTATGAGTTGGGATCCACTCTATGGTAGTGAGTTTGTTTTTTTGGTTTTATTGATAAAATTAAGATACCATAATATCAATGGCATTTGGTGAGCTGTGTTTGCATTTTATAATCATTTCATTTGCCTTTGGTTTTTACACCAGCATATGACACCAGAATGATTGAACATCACCAACACGATCCATGAATACTTTAGAAAAATATTTTTATTCTTGCAGCAAAATGTAAATAAGTAAAAGATACATCTTCAGTTTTATAATTTGGATTTTTGCACTTAACCCTGATGATTCAACTTCTCTAACTATAAAGAGAGGCTCACCATTTATATTTTGAAGTAAAAGAAGGAGTTTATATTGTTATTATTCCAAATTAGTTTCATATTGAGTCTTCGTCAAAATGCTCTGGTAGCATAGTGCCTAAGGCACTTGACAGCTAACCAGAAGGCTGGCAGTTCAAACCCACCAGCCACTCCTCGGAAGGAAGGTTGGGCAATCTACTTCCTCAGTGATACCACCTTGGAAACCCAAGGAAGGGTCACTATGAGTCGGGTCCGACTTGACAGCACATAACAACAACAACAACAGTGCTCATTAGGATAAACTTCCATTTGTCAGGATCTATGAATAAATATTTGCTCCTTCCAATTTTTCTACACTATCTGTAGTGTTTGGATCATAGATGTAGAATGTAGAGAAAGAAGATGAGGTTGAATCTCTAGTTCTTTCCTTTTTCATTTGCATCCTTCACAGGGCCTTGAATTCTGCCTTGAAAGTTGAATGCAGATGCCTGACACCTATCTTCCCTTCCCCTGTTTTGCTCTCTCACATTTTTACAATCAATTTATGCTCCTACTGCACTCACTAGTTTGATACTCTGATAAATCACAGAACTTACCAGAATCTGGGAGACACTTCATTTAAACAATGAATTGCCTAATTTTATTTATGTTTATAGTCCTCAAATTCTTTTAGGATTATGGCTAGTTGGGTCTTGTTTAATTGATTATTTTCTTTGAATGTTAAAATTTGAATTTAGCCTTAAGTTTATTCTTAATTTTAGTAATGAGACACAAATGCTGCACAGTGATAGGAGAACATCTTTTCATTGTAGAAGATGTTTTGCATAAAAGCAAAACTTTTAATTTAGCAACTAAAGTCTAATAGACAGATAAACCTTTCTTTTGAAGTTTGTGCTTTGAGGATCTGTCATATTTTGATGCTCCTGTGCTCCATGTCACCTACATACATCTTGGAAGCTTCCACCAAAAAAGGCTAACCATGTCACAGACACAAAGGATTATCTCACAGTGCTGAATGTATCTTAGGTACAAAATATCAGCTCAACATTCTAGAAGTAAACTGGAATTATTACCCTTTAGTATATTCAGAAAAGAAAAAGCTAAGTGTAAGTGTGTTAGTGGGACAATCCCATACCTTGGTAAACATGGGCTTCCCATGTTGGGTGACCATGGCACACTGGTCGCAGTCCACCGTGATGGATGAGTTGTGGTATGACTCTTTCGAGTGTTTGAGAATGTAATACAAGTCGGTCACTCCTCCTTCAAACACAGTGCTAAAGTAACGGGGGATGAGGGTCCTGCCGATAGCTAGAAGAGAAACAGAAACAAACCATTAACTTGAGTTTTAGTTTCTTCATGTACTCACCCCACATCATCACCAAACCTCCAACAATGGCATGCCAATCATCTCAAGAAACCATTTGTTGCCTGCCTTAGAGTCAGCTCCCACCATGGTGACATTATACATAACAGATTGAATTGTTGCTCTGTCCTGTGTCATTCTCAGGATAGTTGGTGTGGTTTTGTGCAACTATTGTGTCAAGTCATCTCACTGAGGATTCCCGTCATGTTTGCTGTACCTTCCACTTTACCAAACATGATGTCCTTTACTAGGAGGCAAATTTTTCTTTATAAACAGTCATGATCCTTCTGGGTTCTAGTTATTAAACGAGAGTCCCAAATTATTCAGGAAAATTTTATATAGTCATCTCTCCAGATTTGGTATCCATTGAAAGTCAATGATAAATGAGAGAAAAGGCATTAACTGCTTGGGTCACATAGAGTCTCCAAAGGAACATGTTTTCAAGAAAGAAAACGCATCAAACTGACTTGGATTTTTTCATGGGTCACTTACAAGCCAGTTTATCCAATTCTGCTTTATTATTATTATTAGTAGTAGTAGGTATAATAATATAAGTTTAATAATATAATGCTTTGTTATATGTGAAGTTTTTTGGTATTCTCTTGTTGGATCTTCAGAATTATCCCAATACTCTAGGGGACCCATATGGGTCTCTTTTGGAGACCCTAATACTTTATGAGAGAGCTCTGGTGGCATAGTGCCTAATGCGCTTTACTGCTAACCAGAAGGCTGTGGTTCAAACCCACCAGGCACTCCTTGGAAGGAAGGTTGGGCAATCTACTTCTGTGGTGATACCACCTCGGAAACTGAAGGAGGGGTTGCTATGAGTCAAGTCCTACTTGATGGCACATAACACAACAACAGCAAAAAGTTATGATGATTAAAAAACAAAAATGGTACTCAGGAATGTTTCAAAGTTGCATGACTTAGAAGTAACTAACTGGAGTGTCTAACTCTGCAAACACCAAAACCTGCTCTTTCTAACACTATGTCTTAAACTGCTATTGGGTTTCCTGTCCACTTTTGGAGCTGGGTAAGCTATTTTCCCAGAATACATGGTCTTTATTAAGAGAACTTGATACCTTCCACTTGGTCTACATTGGTATTTATTATACCATGTGTTTTTCCCAGCTCCATTTTACTTTAAACAGTTGTGTAAGTAGCTGGGTCTCTCAGCTCTGTGACGCTTAGAAACAACCAACACGCTCTTGCTTCAGCCACGATTTAAATCCTCTTACAATGAAAATCCCAACTCATAATATGAGGAATTTTGCTTATGTACAGCTATGAAGGCAAAGTCCTAAAGCACTCTCTGGCAATTCAAGGTTTTAATAAATCTCTCACATTTGCCATCTAATGCCTCCTGAAAGACAAAAATAATATTTAAGATAAATAAACTATCAAGGAGAGCTTTAGCTAGGAAAGATCATCCAGTCTTTCACTTGAATGTTTTATGATATTTAATTTCCTTTAAAAAGAATCAGTGTTAATTCATTCCACATAGATCTATATCTCTTTTGTACATGGACTTGGGAAAAATGAATATAGAAAGAACTCCTTGCCAAATTATTTTTGAAAGTGGTCTAAAGAATTCCAGTGGGAATGACCAGCCCCTGCATAATTTATATAGTTGTGATTGCTTCCCATTTACTGCAGGTAAAATCAATCAACAAGTAGTGCTAAATAGTTCAGGATATTTGAAAATCTCATTTTAAATAATTCTTACACATCTATTTCCTAAATACCGCCTAATCCACAAAAGCATATGTTCATTCACTGAATATAAAACCCAACTGAGAGTAATCTGAATTCACCAGTCTCTTCAACATATGCATAGCCAATATTATAAAGAAAATTTTGTAATGCTAAAATCCTTATTGTGCTTTGCTAAACATATAAAATTAATTTAATGCATTTCAAATGTTCTAGCTTAAAGCTGATTACCATAAATCAGCCCAAGGAATTTCAACAATTTGGAATCTGTACCGCTGAGCATAAATATCAACCATAAAAATGTAGACAAAGGTTGAAAATATTTCACTGTGCTGGCCAAGGAATTTTTATATTATAAAGGTCGCTATAAGGAAACACAACTGGATTAACCACAGTATAGTTATTCACCACCAATTCAACACACTTTAATTCCTTCATTGCTTGCTATACATTATTGTTATTTTTCTTCATACTCAATAAAACCTGAGAAAGCCAGAAACTGTATAAGGTGGAACCTGAGCTCTGGTAGCATAATGGCTAAGACACTTGCCTGCTAACCAGACTGCTGGCGGTTCAAACCCACCAGCCACTCCTCGGAAGGAAGGTTGGGCAATCCTACTTCCGTAGTGATACTGCCTCGGAAACCCAAGGAGGGGTCGCTATGAGTCGGGGCGACTCGACGGCACATAACAACAACAACAATACAAGCAACAGAAAAGTGGTAAGACTGAACCCTGTGAAAGGTGGAAAACTTGCAACCTGGAAAAACAAGGCACTCCCATTGGTTTCTGGTTCTCACTGGTTTCACTCTCTAAAAAGAAAACTGAATGGAAAAAAGGTTCGAGATTTCTTAATTTTAAACTGAAATCTTTAATTATATGTCCAACTCCAGAAAATGCAGAAACTAGGTAGTAAATACACTGCTTCGAAGGCAAAGGAGCTTTACTTCATTGGACAATTTCTATCACTTTAGAAACTGATTGTTATGGACATTTGAGATTTGTTTTCAGCATTTTCCTTTGGAGGTGGCCCCTACCACTTTCCATGTGGTTCTGTTTGGACTGTCATCACAGAATTTCAATATGCATTGTGGTAGACTGTACTCAGGTGGCCTCCAATGACCATGACAATGGCACTGACTTTTTTGTGTAAGTAGTTTCCTCTCTTTACATCTGGGCATGGTCCTGTAATCTGCTTTAATTAACAGAATGTAGCACAAGTAACCTCTGTCAGCTTTGAGATAAACTTTAAAAATCCCTAGAAGCTTCCATCTTTGTGCTCTGGGAGAAGTCAGCTATCATGTACAAATTGTTGTTATTTGCTGTCAAGTTGGCCCCGACTCCCATGCTGTGAAACGCCTGATACAGTCATATGGAGGGATCACATGAAGAACTGAGTCTTCCAGTCAACAACCCCAGCTGATCTTCCAGCCAACAGCCAACAGCCAACATCAACTTGCTAGCCATGTGCATGAGGCCATCTTGGAAGTGGATCCCCAAGTTCTGGTTGAGCTGCCTCAGGATGGACTCATATGGCGCAGATATGGGGCCATCACTGCACCCTGCCCAAACTGTAGAATCATGAGTACATATTTTAGCTTCCTAGTTTTCCTGTCATGTTATTGTTGTTGTTATGTGCCATCGAGTCAAACCCGACTCATAGCGACCCCTTCTTGGGTTTCCGAGGCAGTATCACTACGGAAGTAGGATTGCCCAACCTTCCTTCTGAGGAGTGGCTGGTGGGTTTGAATCACCAGCCTTCTGGTTAGCAGGCAAGTGTCTTAGCCACTATGCTACCAGAGCTCCTTGGGTGGCTTTAAAGAACAGAAATTTATTTTTCCACAGTTCCATAGGCTAAACATCCAAATAAGGGCCAGGAGGGCCAGGCCATGTTGGTAGCTCCAGGTATTTCTTGTTTCCTGGGTGATCCTCACATGGCATCTGTTTTCCCCCATGCCTCTGTGTCTACTCTGTTCTTTTTACAACTCAGAAATGATTAGATCTAGAGCCCACCCTACTCCAGTATGATCTAATAACATAAAGAACATTTTCCAAAGAGGATTACGTCCACATGTATAGGGATTAGGATTCTAACACATGTTTTTGAGGGACACAATTCAATTCATAATCATAGATAAATGTTTCTATTTCAAGATACATTCAAAATACATTTTGGGGTGTATTCAAGGGGGCAATGGATGACCATAGCACCCTTTCAACCTCCTAGACTATAGTGGTAGGAATACCAGAATCCTTCCTTGAAAGAAAGGGGGAAGCTTTGCCACTGAAAATCTGAGTCTTAGAAATACTAAAGTCTACAGAAGAAAGTAGAGCAAAGAAACAGAGTCTTTGTGGGTTGATTTGGGCCCATGTATCAGCTGGGATTAAAGCCAACTCTATCCCTTGAAGGTCTCAGGTATGTGAACTGCATCTCCTCCCCTCTTTATTTTTGCTTAAGCAAGTTTGTGTTAGGTTTCTGTCATTTTACAAACAGAGGAATCCTGATCAATTATTTCCTGTTCCAGCTTGGAATGGGGCAGCAAACACTGAGGCAGTAAAAGAAAAGATGAGAATGTTCAACTGCAAAAGATATCTCAGTTCCTCATTGGGGGACATGCTGTTAAGTTGCAGGAGAAAAAAAAAAAAAGGTGCACCAGAGACTGTATTAGTTTCCCATTGCTGCTGTAACAAATCACCACAAACTTAATAGCTTAAAACAATACAAATTTATTAAGTCACAACTCCAAGACTTCAACACCAGGCTCATTGGATGAAAACCAAGGTGTCAAACAAGCCACATCTCTTTCTAGATGTTCTAGGGAGAGAATCCATTTTTTTTTTTTTTGCCTTTTCTAGCTTCCAGAGGCTGTACATACTTCTTGGATTGTGAGCTCTTCCTTCATCTTCAAAGCCAAGATGGCAGGTTGAGTCCTTCTCTGATTGCATCACTCTCTTCCGCTTCCTTCTTCTACTTTTAAGGACACTTGTGATTACATTGAACCCATCTGAATAATGCAGCATGATATCCTTATCAGATGAGTAATGTCTCTTTTACCATGCAAGGAACATATTCACCAGTGCCAGGGATTAGGATGTGAATATCTTTGGGGATCAGTACTCTGTCTACCATGGAGAGTATCTTTGGCAAAGAATATCTGCTCTGCAAGGGAGAATAGTCAAACCTGTAACACACACACACACACACAATACACAAATAATATGTTGTACAATAT